CATTCCTTCCGTATAACTTGATAATAAGTAGTATAACTTACACCCATAAATCCGAGGTTAAGTAGGCATGATCAATGAATAGAAAAACTGAACTAAATTACCCTACTAATATCGTTCAACGACTTGCAATGTATCAGCCCAACCAGTAGAACCAATTCCATCTGTTGAATACAAGTCGAACTAACTAAGACAATTTAATTTTTGTGACGAGGAACTCACTTTGAGATTAATATAGTGGTACGTATCTGATCGTTTGTTAATTACTCGTAAAAATTCTTTCTGAAGAACTTCAGCGATACAAATCTTTTGTTAAATAAGACTAGTTTATTCTTTCTCAATACAACTTTGCAATACACTTAATTTCCACACTTAAACACACGCTATAATTCTCAACGAACGATTCACGCACTTTACTTACTACCACGCTTGACTCAATTGTCCGTCTCTATCTCTGTCTGCAATTCAGTTATCGCCGTCACTTTATTTACCGGCTTATATATATACGAAATAGAGGGCGTCTGGAGAACACTCGAGGCTTCACGAACGGACATGATCTTTCTAGAATCTCATGATGTGTTACTAGCGTCCCGTAACTTCCGTTGTCGTAACAATAGCTTAGAAATAGTCTGAATTGATAAAAGTAAACATTTTATTACAAGATAACACAGTAACACATGTATACAGATTTGTTTTTAGAGACGACTTGAATCGGTAACGAAGAAAACTTTATTATAAACTAAACACAGTAATAAATATATATATACATTTGTGTTCAGAGACTGCTTGAGTGAGTAACGAAGAAAACTCTGTTACAAGTTTAACAAAGTAATAAATGTATATATATTTGTGTTTAGAGACAGCTTGAATGAATGAATAACTAAGAAAATTTTATTACAAGTTAAAATTGTAATTCAACTGTGGCTAGAAACCGTGTAGTTTTGTGAGTAACTTCAAAACAAACAAACAATTCAACTGTGTTAAACTTGTAATAAAGTTTTCTTCGTTACCCATTTAAACCTTTCTGAACTTTATTACTCTAAGTTATTCTTTATAGGCCAACGATTTTAATATACAAAATATGGGTATTGCTAGCTTGTAAAATGTAACCTTGAAACGCCCTTCATATTGTCTATATATATATATATACATTTAGGCATAATATATGAACTCAGCTGCAGATTGCATCCTTGAGTGCCTACAGACTCATTGATTTCACTCTACTTGTAAGAATAAAACAAATCAACCTCATAAGATTAAGTACTTCGAAAACCCTCCACCAGTCGAGAAACCTTGGCCAGTAAGCACTTACACCGTCAAGGTTTTTTGGCGCCCTTCTCCATTTTTCAGTGACGGATTGAATATTACTAAGCAAAAAACAAATGAAACAAAAAAGCACAGATAGGCATGTGCAAATAAGTACATCTTACAGTTTCGGGATTAATGATAGTGGTATATCCTTAAAGTTAATTTATTTTACCGTATTAAACAGTGGGATATCCTTTGATGTTCATTTACTTTACCAGATTAAACTACTCTTCTCAAACTATTCCTTTCTTTTTTTGTTCTTGTTGTTAATTGGGAGCCTTCAAAAATATTATTTCCCATTCTTCAAGAAACCCAGTATATTCAGCATGTTACTGTGCTCATTTGAACTAAAAAGTCTCTTTTTTCTGTTCTTGATTTGCCTTTAAGTCATTTTAGACTTGGGATGATCAGATGCAATGTTGACCTCCTCCTCCTCCCTTTTGTTGGTTTCTTTTATGCTTACACTTTATGATTTTACAGGAAAATACTATTATCATTATTACGACACGATGATCAGAGATTTTGCCCAGTTTTTCGGGCACATATTCTGATCCCTGTCAAATCCACGTTCAAGTATGTAATAAAGTATATAAAACTATATAAATCATAACACTCGCATTAAACTTAAACTGAAATAGTCGTGTATATCTAACAGCCAGACACGCGTATTCTATAACCGATGGTATGTATGTTGGGTAAATTTTACTAATGTTTTTAGTAGAGAGTTATAAAGTCTCTTCTTCTTCATCGGAATTCGGTCCATGTTTTGGGACAGAGACGATCAGGTTCAGCATAAAAGTTTAGTTACTTTGTCTGTGTTTCGCGCGAAGCTACTCGAGCGCTATATGTGCTAACTGTCCCTAATTTTTAAGTGATAGACTAGAGGGAAGGCAGCTACTCAATATCACCAACTGTCAACTCTTAGGCTAGTCCTTACTAACGAATAGTGGGATTTACAATCAGTGTACAACACCCTCACAGCTGAAAGAGCAATCATGTTCGGCGACTGGTTTCGATCCCACGATCCGCAAAGAACTATAAAATGGAGAATAACTAATCATCAGTTAACTTTCCTTGGACAGGAATTTTTAGTCACGTATTTTTAAAATTGACACGAAATCGAAATGCCAGTGTAAGTCAGAAGGTGCTCAGTTTGACTGATTTAAAAATGTCGTGTTTCTCAACAAAAAAATAAAAGTAATAATAATAATCTTGAAGTCCCGCGTCATTATGAACTTACAAAAATACTTGCGTTATATTTTTACAAAGACGTTTGTTTGTTTGTTTGAATTTCGCGCAAAGCTACACGACGGCTATCTGCGTTAGACGTCCCTAATTTAGCAGGGTAAGACTAGAGGGAAGTCATCACCACCCATCGCCAAATCTTGGGCTACTCTTTTACCAAAGAATAGTGGGATTGACCGTCACATTTTTCAGCTAAACATGTAATATTATTTTATTCGGGTAATTTTTCTAATTTTAGAATAGGTCGTCGACACGCTCTACGTGAACAGGATGTACCTTGCTGTAGCTTATGCTAAATTTAATTTTATCTTAAATTATAAAAGTGATCCTCTGACGTGGGTGGCAAGGCATTTTGGGAAATTCAGCAGAATTTAAACTTGAATAAAAGTCCAAGTGTGGTTAATTATCGATAAAATTCCGTCTTAGTCTGAACTAGTTTAGTGTTTGTCATCCAGATAAGCCTAGTATCTATTGATATAAACAAGCCATCTCTCGCGGTTAAAATAATGTGTTGGTTTTGTTTCAAAATGAAACATCCATATCTCGACACTCACTTGTTGGTTTCAGTTTTGCCTGAGAATACCACATGGTATTTATTTAAGCAGTTTGTTTAGCAATCTTTTAATATATGTATGAGTATGGCAATTCCATGACAAAAAAATTCTAGTCCTGCCGCTTTGTCTTACTTTACTTATACTTGACATAAGCGGAATGTTTGTTTTGGAGTTCGCGCAAAGCTACACGAGAGCTATCTGCGCTAGCCGTCCCTAATTTAGCAGTTTAAGACTAGAGGGAAGGCA